ACAACAGAATAAATGCACACAAATCTGACATCGGAAATGGCAGTATCTGAAAAACCTTGCCTCCTCCCAGGACAACCCTCTGTTGCTGACCTCAGCGTGGCAGTTCTTGATTTCCAGGAAGAGACTCCAGCATCAAACTGCTGAATTGCAACTTTTATGGAAGTTTGATTCTATCGCCTCCGGCTTACATTGAGATAATGGCTCCCTGTGTACTACTACAGCTATTGATTGACTTAGCAATGTTTGGGTGATTGTGTCATCGCTTATTAGCAATTACTGCTGTTGTGAAACATCACTAGACGCATCATGAACTTGACATAGAGTTGGCACACGTTCCATTGCCATTCTGCAGAAGCACATTGTGTGCAAAGCATACATAAACCGACCAATTGCAGATAACACATAATGAACCTGTTTGCCTTTGAGACGCCATGGGAATTCGTAGTTGTAATGCTTAATGCTCGTAAGATGTGCAGCGCTATGGGAGAACGGCTCAAAAGACGTCAGATCTCTCAATAATTTCTCAGAACTTTACCATTAATATAGCATCCCTGGTGTGGAGATTGTGATCTAGAAAGAGCCTTTCTTTCCTAGAAAGACTCGTGACTGGGAGCAGCTGCCGACACCACAGAACACCGGTCTTGAAAGACCTACACTGGCTCCCAGTACGTTTCCGAGCACAATTCAAAGTGTTGGTGCTGACCTTGAAAGCCCTAAGCAGCCTCAGTCCAGTACAGTGATACCTCTGGGTAAGAACTTAATTCGTTCTGGAGGTCTGTTCTTAACCTGAAACTGTTCTTAACCTGAGGTACCACTTTAGCTAATGGGGCCTTCTGCTGCCACCGTGTGATTTCTGTTCTTATCCTGAAGCAAAGTTCTTAACCCAAGGTACTATTTCTGGGTTAGCAGAACTCTGTAACCTGAAGCGGTGGCTTAACCCACAGCGCCACCCACGTCCCTACAATGCGTTTAAAACCAAAATCGCATTTGGGTAGAAACTCTTTCTCAGGTGGCTAGTCCTTGTCTTTATAACCTTGTACCTTCTTCCAGAAGGCAGAAGCTGAAAGAGACCATTTCCGGGGTGTGCACTATCCTGCGCTTTCTCTGCAGCTTTCTTATGGCACCTGGAAGCATAGATTTGATTGAAGGTGGGAAGAGTGCACCCAATTATTTTCTCTGCAGTCTTTACAACCCTGGACAGCATTGTTTTTTCCCTGGCTGTGCAGGTCCCAAACCACACACACAGACCATAAGTTAATAACAGTACAATGGTAAAATGCCATCAACAGGTCCTTTGAGAGATTGTTTTTCCGGAGGAAGGGAGAGGATCCTTGCTTGCAGGTTTCCCACAGGCTTCTGTTCAGCCACTGTGAGAAGAGGATACTGGACTAGGTCAGGGGGACATGAGATGAAGACACCTTTGCAATAATAGTTTTCCCAGTAGCGATGTATGGAAGTGAGAGCTGGACCATAAAGAAGGCTGATTGCCGAAGAATCAATGCTTTTGAATTCTGGTGCTGGAGGAGACTCTTGAGAGTCCCATGGACTGCAAGAAGATCAAACCTCTCCATTCTGAAGGAAATCAGCCCTGAGTGCTCACTGGAAGGACAGATCCTGAAGCTGAGGCTCCAAGACTTTGGCCACCTCATGAGAAGAGAAGACTCCCTGGAAAAGACCCTGATGTTGGGAAAGATGGAGGGCGCAAGGAGAAGGGGACGACAGAGGACGAGATGGTGGGACAGTGTTCTCGAAGCTACCAGCATGAGTTTGACCAAACTGCGGGAGGCAGTGGAAGACAGGAGTGCCTGGCGTGCTCTGGTCCAGGGGGACATGAAGAGTCGGACACGACTAAACAACTAAACAACAACAACAAGTGCCAATTTATTCTGAAATAAGCAGTTTATTTTAAACTCTTTACAAAATAGGCAGTATCATAAAAACACAGATATCGATTGCTGTCTTTAGCCTTCGTTTGAATACTGGGAAAGGTGTGTGCGTGGGCTGGGGCCAAGAGCATCTTGTAAAAGAAGAGCGGCCACACCACCAGACAGACCAGGGGTTAGGAGGAGATAGATCTGGACCTCCTGCAAGATCTCTGGGTGATTTGCAGCAGATCCAAAAAGCTTTTGACTCTCAGCTGTTCATGACCAGGGACTGGACCTGGCTATCTTTTGACAGATGTACAGAGACTTTCTGCCACAGGATTCTTGTTTCAGGCCTTCTTGGCTCACTTGCACACAGCCCTTATTAGGTTTATGTTTCAGAGGTCTGAAATAAAATTAATCAACAAAGCAAAAAGGTCACAGCTTGCCTTGCCATTTGTAATGCCCACATTCTGAATTATCTGTAGTGACTTTGGAAGCCAGATTTGACCATCTCCAAACAGCTCAAATGTGACCCAGGTCAGCTGCCCCGGGCTCATCTCCACTCCCTCTGGCCCCATATCTATAAGGCCTGGGTCCAAGCAGTTTGCGAGAAGCAAAGCTACAGGGAACCAGGCAGAGGGCCTTCTCGGTAGTGGCTCCCGCCCTGTGGAACGCCCTAACGTCAGATGTCAAAGAGATAAACAACCATCTGACATTCAGAAGACATCTTAAGGCAGCCCTGTTCAGGGAAGTTTTTAATGTGTGACATTTTAGTATATTTTTGGTCTTTGTGGAAGCCGCCCAGAGTGGCTGGGGAACAAATAAATTATTATGATTATGATTATGATTATTATGATTATGATTATGATTATTATTATTAATTTCCCACTTGCCCTGCGCTTTCTAGGCATGGGTCCAAGTGCTTTTGCCCCTGCCCCACCACTTTCCATGGGGAAAAACCAGCTCACTAGTGAGAATTTGGAGCAAACGTCAGTGCAGAGAAAACCGAAATGACATTTGCTCCAATTCAGCAGTAAATCCCTGGGGAAAAGTGGCCTTGCACGAGCAAGTTTGGATGAGCTCTTCCAGGGCCAATACTTATTTTCATACCCTCTAACATTTCTCCAATGAAAATAGGGACGTCCTATTACATCGTTGTTCTTGTTACCCCGTCCATCTGACTGGGTTGACCCAGACACTTTGGGTGGCTTCCAACATACAGCCGTACCTTGGTCCTCCAACAGAATGCGTTCTGGGAGTCCGTTCGACTCCCGGAACCGTTCGAAAACCAAGGTGCTGCTTTCAATTAGCTGTAGGAGTGTCCTGCAGCCAATCAGAAGCCGTGCCGGACGTTCAGCTTCCAAAAATTGTTCGAAAACCAGGTTTCGGTCATTCGGGAACCGATTTGTTCAGGAGCCAAGCTGTTTGAGAGCCAAGGTACGACTGTATATAAAAACATAATAAAACATTAAACATTTAAAAAAACCTTCCCTATACAGGGCTGCCTTCAGGTGTTTTCTAAAGGTTGCATAGTTACTCATCTCCTTGACTCTGGGGTTGCATAACTCCAGACCCTCCAACATTTCTCCATCAGTATGCAGATGACACCCAGCTCTACCTCTCTTTTAAATCAGAACCTGTGAAGGCGGTGAAGGTCCTGTGTGAGTGTCTGGAGGCAGTTGGAGGATGGATAGCAGCTAACAGATTGAGGTTGAATCCTGACAAGACAGAATTACTGTTTTGGGGGGACAGGGGGCGGGTGGGTGTGGAGGACTCCCTGGTCCTGAATGGGGTAACTGTGCCCCTGAAGGACCAGGTGCGCAGCCTGGGAGTCATTCTGGGCTCACAGCTGTCTATGGAGGCGCAGGTCAGTTCTGTGTCCAGGGCAGCTGTCTCCCAGCTCCATCTGGTATGCAGGATGAGACCCTCCCTGCCCGCAGACTGACTCACTAGAGTGGTGCATGCTCTGGTTATCTCCCGCTTGGACTACTGCAATGTGCTCTACGTGGGGCTACCTTTGAAGGTGACCCGGAAACTGCAATTAATCCAGAATGCGGCAGCTAGACTGGTGACTGGGAGTGGCCGCCAAGACCATATAACACCGGTCCTGAAAGACCTACATTGGCTCCCAGTACGTTTCTGAGCACAATTCAAAGTGTTGGTGCTGACCTTTAAAGCCCTAAACGGCCTCAAAGGCCCAGTATACCTGAAGGAGCGTCTCCACCCCCATCGTTCAGCCCGGACACTGAGGTTCAGCACCGAGGGCCTTCTGGCGGTTCCCTCATTGCGAGAAGTAAGGTTACAGGGAACCAGACAGAGGGCCTTCTCGGTAGTGGCGCCCACCTTGTGGAATGCCCTCCCTTCAGATGTGAAGGAAATAAGTAGCTATCCTATCTTCAAAAGACATCTGAAGGCAGCTCTGTTCAGGGAAGCTTTTAACATTTAACGCTGTATTGTTTCTAATACTTTATTGGGAGCCGCCCAGAGTGACTGGGGAAACTCAGCCAGATGGGCGCGGTATAAATAGTAAATTATTATTATTATTATTATTATTATTATTATTAGAAAATAGGAACGCCCTAAGGAAAAGCAGGACATTCCAGGATCAAGTCAGAAACTGGGACAGCTTCTGAGAACCTGGGACTGTCCCTGGAAAAAGGGAGCACTGGGAGGGTATGTGATTTTGCACTGTGAGTTGTCGCTCCTTGGAGGCTCCCTGCAAATGGCCAGTGCGAGTCTGGTTGGGCATTAAAAGGAGGCAGAACCACGTCGTCATCATCATCATTTATTATTTATACCCCGCCCATCTGGCTGGGTTTTCCCAGCCACTCTGGGCAGCTTCCAACAGAATATTAAAATACAATAACCTATTAAACATTAAAAGCTTCCCTAAACAGGGCTGCCTTCAGATGTCTTCTAACAGTCTGGTAGTTGTTTATCTCTTTGACATCTGGTGGGAGGGCGTTCCACAGGGCGGGAGCCACTACCAAGAAGGCCCTCTGCCTGGTTCCCTGTAATCTGGCTTCTCGCAGTGAGGGAACCGCCCGAAGGCCCTCGGAGCTGGACCTCAGTGTCCGGGCAGAAAGATGTGTTACGTTCTGCTCCTTAGTGGCAAACAGCTCAGTGCCTCTCTACTTACCCTGAATAGAGTGAGTTATCCACCCATCTCCTTATTCCTTGCAGCCCAATCCAAAATGACGTTGAACGCAGAGAGTTCTAGAGTTAGGAGAAGAAGCAAAGCGTTGGAGTCCTGAATGACCAGCCTCACGCCATGTCTACTGAGAGAGGGGGCTGGTGGGTGGGAGCGCCTTCTAACAACTCAATTTCCCTCTCCGCGGGGCCACATCAGGAAGACAGCTGAGGGAAACCGTCCCTCCCCACACCCGCCCCATAGACAAGAGGGCCATTGTTGAGGTTCCACAGAGCTCTTTGCTGATGTCTGTTTGGCTACTTAAGAAGGTCTCTATAGGAGTATATTTCCTGCCAACCTAGCAGTTCAAAAGCACTCAAAGTGCAAGTAGATAAATAGGTACTACTCTGGCAGGAAGGTAAACGGCGTTTCCGTGCGCTGCTCTGGTTCGCCAGAAGCGGCTTAGTCATGTTGGCCACATGACCCGGAAGCTGTATGCCGGTCCCCTGGCCAATAAAGCGAGATGAGCACCACAACCCCAGAATCGGCCACGACTAGACCTTATGGTCAGGGGTCCCTTTACCTTTTTATAGGAGTATATTGTATTATAAAATGGGGTTTCAGAGTTTTTAGGGGTTTTTGAATGTCTTATGTGGCTTTTTTCAATTTCATTGTTCTGTATGGGACGATGACAATAAAGATATCATATCATATCATATCAATATCATCATATCATATCATATCATATATTATATCATATCATCATATCATATCATATCATCGTACTTTCCTGAGGTTAGAACTGTAGGGAGAGGGAACGATTTTCCTGCTCTGGGACATGAAGAGCCACAGGACAGCAGAAACCTCAAAAACTGCAAATCCTTATCACAGCCCTTGCCACATTTCGAAGCTCTTGCAGGTGGCAAGGAGGAGTGACAGAAAGAGGAAAAGCAGGAAGGCAGGGGCCCAATCCTGCTCTGATCTGCAGCCAGTCTGCATCCCTCAACAGACAGCCTTTGAGGAGAGGCAGCAAAGTTGCAACGGGGTCCTTTCCGCTTTTTAAGATTGGCTGTGAATGCCACATTTCCCTCACCTTTACCCTTTCTGTGCTGTGAGCATGGAGTGGCCTTCAAGTTCCCCCTTCAGGATTGATGGTGGAGCCCCTCCCTCCCTCACCCCACCCATTAGGCCATGCTACCCGTTTCCACCAGACCATTAAGACTTGGGAACGCTGCAGCTCCTCAGCACTCCAGGGACCTCTCAAAATAAGCAGCAGGGATTCGTTCTTCGCACAGTCAGTCTTGCTTTCTTCCCAAGTCCTCTTTTCCGCTGAAATCCACAGGCATTTCCATCGGAAGAGCTTCCACTGAGGGGGGCAGCAGCCTGCGAAGGAGACACAAAGGGCCAGGAGAGGGTCTTGGCTGCAGCTCTTCCCAGATGGGCTCAGGGCACCTCAGAGACCCCCCAGCCAATGGGGTGAGATGCTATTTGTTCAGAGGCCACAAGCTCCATAAGCTGGTCTGTGCTACGTCTGCAGGGTGGCAGGGATCATTTGGGAACAATTAAGGACTCATCCGGAACACAGGTGGCGCTGTGGGTTAAACCACAGAGCCTAGAACTTGCCAATCAGAAGGTTGGTGGTTCAAATCACCGCAACGGGGTGAGCTCCTGTTGCTCGGTCCCAGCTCCTGCCAACCTAGCAGTTTGAAAGCACGAAGGTCAAGTAGATAAATAGGTACCACTCCAGCGGGAAGGTAAACGGCGTTTCCGTGTGCTGCTCTGGTTTGCCAGAAGTGGCTTAGTCCTGCTGGCCACATGACCCAGAAACTGTATGCCGGCTCCCTCAGCCAATAAAGCGAGATGAGCGCCGCAACCCCAGAGTCGGTCACGACTGGACCTGATGGTCCCTTTACCTTTTAAGGACTCATCCGCACTACCCTTTTGCCCCTCACTTCCTAGGCAGAATTTTTCCAGTCCATGTCCAAGTCACTCCCCCCCCAGGAAAATCCACTCTTTAATGCTGAATTGGAACAAATGGCAATCCGGGTTTTCCAAAGATTGCTGTTTGCACTGATTCAGCGCTAAAGAGCGGGTTTTGCAGGGAAAAGGGGAAAAAACCATACACTCTTATGCACTCTTTGCTTGACTGTAAAGCCATGCGTTTAGACAGATGGAGGCATCTGTGAGACATTTAATTTACCCCAGAGCCCATACTTGGGTAATATTAGCAGAAACCCAAAAGCCACAAAGGTTGGTCCTCTCCAGGGTCGTCTCAGGCCAAAAAAAAATTACTACCCCCCCCCCAAATTACTACCCTTATTTGCATGCTGCACAACAAAAGATCTTGCAATAAATAAAACAATTTGGGTAAAAAAATAACATATAACACTGTAAAATCAAGGCAGGTGTTAACCCGGATGGCAATTCTCCTATGACTGCCAGTCATTATGGCCAACTGATGTTTGTTCTGTCCTAACATTTCTTGCTACTTTATCATACCCTCCAACATTTCTCTGATGAAAATGGAGATGTCCTATTCAATAATAATAATAATAATAATTTTATTATATATATCCTGCCCATCTGACTCAGTTGCTGCAGCCACTCTGGGTGGCTTCCAACATACATAAAAACATAATAAAACATTAAACATTTTTTTGAGACCTTCCTTACGCAGGGCTGCCTTCAGATGTCTTCTAAAGGTTGTACAATTACTTATCTCCTTGGCTCAGGGGTATAACTCCAGACCCTCCAACATTTATCTGATGAATATAGGGACGTCCCAAGGAAAAGAGGGACATTCCGGGATCAAATCGGAAACCGGGATGGCTTCTGTAAATCCGGGACTGTCCCTGGAAAATAGGGGCATCTGGGAAGGTCTGCTTTATTCATTCTGTTTCCATAATTTTTTGCCCCTGGGTACCAGCAATATGGGACGCGGGTGGCGCTGTGGGTTAAACCACAGAGCCTAGGACTTGCTGATCAGAAGGTCAGCGGTTCGAATCCCCGCGACGTGGTGAGCTCCCGTTGCTCAGTCCCTGCTCCTGCCAACCTAGCAGTTCAAAAGCACGTCGAAAGTGCAAGTAGATAAATAGGTACCACTCCGGCGGGAAGGTAAACGGTGTTTCTGTGCGCTGCTCTGGTTCGCCAGAAGCAGCTTAGTCTTGCTGGCCACATGACCTGGAAGCTGTACGCCGGCTCCCTCGGCCAGTAAAGCGAGATGAGCGACGCCACCCCCGGGTCGGCCACGACTGGACCTAACGGTCAGGGGTCCCTTTACCTTTACCAGCAATATGAAAAGATTCTTTAGTTTGGCAAGCACTAGTAAAAGGAGGGGAATCTCCCATTGCCGTGGGGGCAGAACAGGGGAAACTCATTCTGGTGATTCACGAACCACAGCCCAGCGCAAGTGGGGATTCCGCCCCCCCCCCCCGCAGAAAGAATGTGGTTGGTCAAGGCAGCTGTGGGCTCAAAATGTTGAAAACCAGTGTTCCAGGGGATTCTGGTACCAGTAAAACAAAGGAGTGGTGGCCATTAGGGAGAAATCAGCAGCTAAGAAGAAATGAACAAATGGCAGTTTTGACAACAGAAATGAAGGCAGAGACGCAGCTCATCGCCCACATTTGCTGGAGCATCAGAGCATGAAGAGCGCTCAGCCGCCGTCGCACAGACAGCGCAGGAAGTGTGAACACATGTCTTTTGCGTGCAGGTTCTGCTGGGCAAGAATCACCCCAGTTACGGGAAAATTAATGAAAGTGTCCTAAATATAGTGCGCCTAATGAGTGCATCATCCGTATGTCTGAAATAGTACGTGGTGCAATGCAGCAGCCATGTTTATGTTAGGATTTTTATCTATCTGAGCTGTTTCAGCGAGTGGTACTGTTGTAATCTGTTTTGTATACATCATGTGAGTGTCTGAGTGAGAGTGAGACAGAAAGTCTGAGTACGGTTGGAAGTTAGTTTCACTTCTGTTTGTGATGCTGTTCTGTACTGGTGCTCAAAGAGCACAGACGTGCTGACGGAGTCTTTGTATTACAGAATGTAAATTAAGTAGTTTTAGAGCTACTTATTGAGTCTTTCTTCTGCAATGATATGCCAGAAGACGAGTGTGCTCCTCTCAGGAGAGAGGGGTCACTTAGCACCCGGAAGCTGTTCGCCGGCTCCCTTGGCCAGTAAAACAAGATGAGCGCCGCAACCCCAGAGTCAGCCACGCCGACCTAATGGTCAGGGGTCCCTTTACCTTTTACTATATAAGGGCAGGCACACCTTTGTTCTGGGTCCTCCTCCTTTCCTGCATGAGAGGGGAGCACCCTGTTTCAACAGATCAATAAAGACCAGGCTTACAAACTGCTTTGCTTCTCAGTCTTCTCTGGTTGGCCTCTGTTATTTTTCTCCGACCGATGGAGAACCTACAAAGGACTCTATAAGGGCTCTTGTGTCCCCCATAAGGGAATAAGGGCAGGTTTTCGTTTATTACACCATGACCCCTGGCAGCAGCGATCAGCAAGGGGAGCCCTCCCAGCCCGGCTGGGAAAAGTGGCAAACTGGACGTACCGATCTGCTGGCAAGATCTGGCGTGCGTCAGATTGGTCTCCATCTCCCGGTTCTTCTCTTCCAGTCTGCCCTGGTCCTGACGCAGGAGGGTCAGGTTGCACTCTGCTCGCCTCAGCTCTTCCCTGGCGTGTTCGAGTCCCGCCTTGGCTTCTCGTAGCATCTCCCGGGCTTGAGCCAGGCTCTCTTCCTTGGTTCTGATCCTCTGGGCCAGGGCGCTGCTGTTTGCGGCGTGGGCTTGGGAAGCCTCGCCGAACTGCCGGGAGACCTGCCAGTCTGCAAAGCACAGGGGAGGGAGATGACCGGGGGCCAACAATGCTGTTCGCTTGGGGGCTCTGGGCTGGGCTGCAGGCAGCAGGGCAGAGAGGCTGGATTACTGCAATGCGCTCTCTGTGGGGCTTCCCTTGTGTCCGGAAGCTGTGGTCATTGCAAAACGCCGCACCACAACTGGTGTGAGGCCCCGTCGGCTTAGGAAGTTATAATCCGATTCTTTGGTTGTTTCTAAAGAATCGTGGCAAGAAAAATTGACGGACTATGCAGAACTGGCAAAACTGACATATAAGCTACGGGACAAGGATAACTGTGACTTGAAAGGCGAATGGGAACCCTTTACAAAGTATCTGAAGACCTAACAAAGCGAATTAGACTCCTTGGCAGGTTTTGAATAAACATTCACAAACTTTTTATTGATAATAATCAGCTAAATAGTTTGAGGATCTATACAACTTTGTAACATGCAGAAAACAGCAGTCTCAGAGAAACCAAAGACAGGAACAGAGGGAAGTCGGGGGGTGGGGGCGGGTGGGTTTTGTGGGGGGGAGGGGGGAAATGGGGGGGAAACAAGGATGATATGTTTTTGGATAATATGTCTTGTTTTAATTTTGAATAAAAAAACCTTAAAAAGAGGAAGAAGAAGAAGAGTTTGGATTTGATATCCCGCCTTTCACTCCCTTTAAGGAGTCTCAAAGCGGCTAACATTCTCCTTTCCCTTCCTCTCCCACAACAAACACTCTGTGGGGTGAGTGGGGCTGAGAGACTTCAAAGAAGTGTGACTGGCCCAAGGTCACCCAGCAGCTGCATGTGGAGGAGAAGGGAATCGAACCCGGTTCCCCAGATTACGAGACTACTGCTCTTAACCACTACACCATACTGGAAGTTATAATCTGTTTCAAGTATTTTAACTGTTTGTATGTTTCAAAGTATGGCTTTGAATTTTTTCTTGTTTTTGGGTTGTTGTTTTTTAAAAAAACCAATACAGCAGTATATAAATTTTATGAAATAAAATAATAAATAAATCCCCACTTGAAGGCCATGAAGTCTACTAGGGTTGACGTTGGGCCAGTCACTGCCTCTCAGGTTGAAAGTTTTAAATCACTGCTGTTAATTTTTCCTAAGTGGTAACTGGATTGTGTCCATTTTTCTAAACCCCTTTGAGGTTGGGGGGGCAGAGGGGGAGTGTTTTACAGTTGAGCGATGCATACGTTTTATAAAATAAAAATAAAGAAAGACACAAAACCATAGCTGTTCTGGCTCCATTTGAAGAAATCCTCAGTTAGGCTATGTGAATTTGCAATTTCCCATCTCTCCCATTCCCCTGGAGGGGAAACTGCTGGAGGCTGCCTGCCTCTGAATACCACTTAGCTGGTGTATTTAGTTCCCACCTACAGTCTTCTTCCCGCCATGTCTATCTGATTGACCACTGTGCAAACAAGATGCTGGACTTAGATGGACCACTGGCTTGACCCAGCAGCCAGGCTCTTCCTATGGAGGCCTATTGAGATAGCAGAACCTCCATGCCCAGGCACAGTCTACCTCTGAATACCAGATAATGGGGAACAATAGTTGGAGAATACATTTGCACTCAGGACCTGCTCTGGGGCCTCCCTTTCAGGCACCTGTTTGAATGTTTGGCCTGATCCAGCCTGAGAGCTCTTTTTAGATATTGGTGCTCTCATGGGAACATGGCTGCTACTGAGCACCAATGCTAGCAGAGCTCCAGTGGCAGGTAAATATTTGAGCAGGCATTTGGCCTCTCTCAGCTCGTGCAGTTACATTCTCTGTATATTGCTTGCTTCAACACTGGTGATCTTTGCTTCTTCCAGTACACTGATATTAGTTCGCCTGTCTTCCCAAGTGATGTGTAAAATCTAAAAAAAATGTAGTATAAACACTGACAACTGGGAAACACTGGCCTGCGAGCGCTCCAGTTGGAGAACAGCCTTTACCAAAGGTGTCCTGGGCTTTGAAGACACTCGAACTCAGGACGCAAGGGAGAAACGTGCTAGGAGGAAGGCACGCTTGGCAAATCCACACCAGGATCAACTCCCGTCCGGAAACCTATGTCCCCACTGTGGAAGGATGTGTGGGTCTAGAATTGGCCTCCACAGTCACTTACGGACTCATTGTTAAAACAGTATTTATGGAAGACAATCTTACTCGGCTACAAGAGATCGCCAAAGAAGAAGAAGAGGAAGAAGATGATGATGATGAAGAAGAAGAAGAAGAGGAGGAGGAGGAGGAGGAGGAGGAGGAGGAGGAGGAAGAGGAGGAGGAGGAGGAAAAGGAAGAAGAAGACGAAAAAGAAGAAGAAGAAAAGGAAAAGGAAAAGGAAAAAGAAGAAGAAGAAGAAGAAGAAGAAGAAGAAGAAGAAGAAGAAGAAGAAAAAGAAGAAGAAGAAGAAGAAAGAAGAAGAAAAGGAAAAGGAAGAAGAAGAAGAAGAAGACGACGACGAAGAAGAAGAAGATATTGCTTGATTCCACATCAGGCTGTGTTTCGGTTAAATACTGTGTTGCTGCAAGTTGCTCCTCAGTCTGGGACCACGTGAATCCTGAAGAGCGGCAGGTAACAAACACCTTAAAGAAATACTCACAACCGACTGCGAATCCAACAGTGGTGGCAAAGAAGAAGAGGGAGACGGCCAGGAGGGCCACAGCTGCGTAGTAGGTTTGACGCCTTGGCCCTAGAAGAGAAACCCGGGGAGGGGATGAACTGTGGAACTCCCTCCCACAGGAGGCAGGAATGTCCAACTTGGATGGCTTCAAAATCGAGCTGGGAAAATTCGTGGAGGAGTAGGAGAGGGCTACCAAAGGCTCCTAGCCACTGTGGCTCTGCTCAGTCTCCACAGTCAAGAGGCAGGAAACGATTCTGAATCCCAGTTGATGGAAACTGCAGGAGTGGGAGAGATCCTGCTTCCTGATTTGACTTTGGGGCATCTGGTTCTTAAAAGAGGTCTTATGGCTACCTGCCAGGGATTCTCAAGTTGTGATTTCTGCAGTGCAAGGAGTTGGACTAGAGGACCTTTGGGGGGGCCACCTTCCAAATCTACAATTCTATGATCCCTCCCCTAATAATAATAATAAATTTATTATTTATACCCCACCCATCTGGCTGGGTTTCTCCAGCCATTCTGGGTGGCTCCCAACAGAATATTAAAAACACGATAAAACTTCAAACATTAAAAACTTCCCTAAACAGGGCTGCCTTCGGATGTCTTCTAAAAAGCTGTGGATGGGGGGGGGGGGAGGGAAGAGGAACCACGGATCTGCATCTCCAGAACAAATCAGCTCATGGCAATATTCATGAAACACCATGCTGTTTCCAAATTAGAACTATGAAAAGAAATGCATTTGTGAGGGGCAGGGAGAGGAGGACACCGAGTATAATAATAATAATAATTTATTATTTATACCCCGCCCATCTGGCTGGTTTTCCCCAGCCACTATTTGCGGCTTCCAATAAAACACTAAAATACAATAACCTATTAAACATTAAAAGCTTTCCTAAACAGGGTTGCCTTCAGGTGTCTTCTAAAAGTTTGGTAGTTTTTTATCTCTTTGACATCTGGTGGGAGGGCGTTCCACAGGGCGGGGGCCACTACCGAAAAGGCCCTCTCCCTGGTTCCTTGTAACTTGGCTTCTCGCAGCGAGGGAACTGCCAGAAGGCCCTCAGTGCTGGACCTCAGTGTCCGGGCAAAACGATGGAGGTGGAGACGCTCCTTCAGGTATACTGGGCCTTTGAGGCCATTTAGGGCTTTAAAGGTCAGCACCATCACTTTGAATTGTGCTCGGAAACGTACTGGGAGCCAGTGAACTCAGAAGCAAAACAGAGAAGTGTACAAGAAACCTCCTATGTATGCAGAACATTTAGTTCCTAAGAGTTCAGAAGCAGGCGCTGTCGCTATGCTTTTGTTTGAAAGATAACCTACCACCCTCCCTTTCCTAAATGATAGCCCAAAGCAGCAAACAGCATCACTACTGGAATAACTAAAACATTAAACACAAGAATTGCCTCCTGGGTCAAGCCCATCTAGTCCTGTAGACACTTCTTTCATTACCCAAACGTCCCAGGGAGGGTAACAGCAATTAGAGCACCATATTTAAAACAAACTACAGTCACACAAAAATAAGTTGGGTCCTTAAGAACACACACTTTGTTGTTTAGTCGTTTAGTCGTGTCCGACTCTTCGTGACCCCATGGACCAGAGCATGCCAGGCACCTCTGTCCTCCACTACCTCCCGCAGTTTGGTCAAACTCATGCTGGTAACCTCGAAAACACTATCCAACCATCTCGTCCTCTGTTGTCCCCTTCTCCTTGTGCCATCCATCTTTCCCAGCATCAGTGTCTTCTCCAGGGAGTCTTCTCTTCTCATGAGGTGGCCAAAGTACTGGAGCCTCAGCTTCACGATCTGTCCTTCCAGTGAGCACTCAGGGCTGATTTTCTTCAGAATGGAGGTTTAATCTTCTTGCAGTCCATGGGACTCTCAAGAGTCTTCTCCAGCACCATAATTCAAAAGCATAAATTCTTCGGTGATCAGCCTTCTTGATGGTCCAGCTTTCACTTCCATACATCACTACTGGGAAAACTATAGCTTTAACTATACGGACCTTTGCTGGCAAGGTGACGTCTCTACTTCTCAAGATGCTGTCTAGGCCTGTCATTGCCCTTCTCCCAAGAAGCAGGCGTCAAGAACACACACAGCCAGGGTCAAAAGCCAGGGGGAAGAAGTGTGTCTTCAGCATCCTCTGGAAGCTGTGCAATGAGGGTGCCACAGCTTAGGGGCCGCCACAAAGGAGGCCCTGTCCTGCTGGACCACCCCAGAAGCCTCTGAGGGGAGAGGAACCACCAAGAAGGCTCCCTCTGCCAATCTCAACACCTGAGAGGTTTTGCAGGTAAGGAGGTGGTTTTTCAAGCATCTTCCCTCCAGTCCTTACTGGCAGGAGGTCTCCCTGGCAGGGGCAAGACCTACCTCACCAGGGCAATACTCAGCACTCACCTTTTGCAGGCTCTAAGCTGCTGGGGGCCTTTTCTTCCTCAGGCTTGGCCCCCTGGACGTTCTCGTAGGCGAGCTCCTCCTCAGTTGTCTCTGGAAAAGGAGACGGGAATGAGCAGTAAACTTTGCCGTAGTATTGAAAAAGCTGCAAAGCCGTTGGGAGGTTTGGACAGACAGAAAGTACCTTGCTGCTGGATCTTCTCCAGAGGAACCTTCCCGAATCTCAGGTCCGCGTAAGTCACATCCTGAGACATCCTGGGGATGGGAGAACCCGGGTCACTGCTCTCGTGGCACCCGAGAGTGACTTATGGTACTTTGGAGGGAAGTCACTTGGTCTCTGCTGAAAAGGGGTTTCGTCGCCACTGGTTCCAGTAAGCAGAAGCTTGTGGAGACCAGGTGGAGTCAGCCATGCATGAGTAAAAACCCTCCCTTGACTGGGCTGATGTCATTTGAGAAGTGAAAGTCTTCTCTCATCTCTAACTTTCTCTTCACTTCTGTTTCCCTGGGGGCAGCAGAAGGCTGCTGAGATTGGCAAGTGATTCTCCCAACGTGTAATTTTTGAGATGTGCTGTAGAGTCTAAGAAGAGCCTGCTTTGGGCAAGAGATGTTGGACACCATATAATGCTGGAAGATTGGGAAAAGCTGTGGAAGAAAGGGATAAAGTTTACTGCATGTACTGTGTTAAAAGAAAATATTATGAAAATGATGTCTAGATGGTACTTAACCCCGGTGAAATTAGCAAAGATCTATCATACAAATTAGCAAAGATCTATCATAGGGACACGGGTGGCGCTGTGGGTTAAACCACAGAGCCTAGGACTTGCCGATCGGAAGGTCGGCAGTTTGAATCCCCACGACGGGGTGAGCTCCCGTTGTTTGGTCCCTGCTCCTGCCAACCTAGCAGTTCGAAAGCACGTCCAAGTGCAAGTAGATAAATAGGTACCACTCTGGCGGGAAGGTAAACGGCGTTTCCGTGCGCTGCTCTGGTTCGCCAGAAGCGGCTTAGTCATGCTGGCCACATGACCCGGAAGCTGTACGCCGGCTCCCTCAGCCAATAAAGTGAGATGAGCGCCACAACCCCAGAGTCAGTCAAGACTGGACCTAATGGTCAGGGGTCCCTTTACCCTTTACCTATCATACAAATGATAATCAATGTTGGAAATGTAAAGAAAAAGAAGGTACTTTTTATCATATGTGGTGGACATGTCCCAAGGTGAAAGACTTCTGGGAAAAGATTTATAATGAGTTGGAAAAAAATGTTGAAAAATACATTTATTAAGAAACCAGAAGCCTTTCTACTTGGAATACTAGGACTGGAAATGCCCCAAAAAAGATGTTAGACAGTTTTTGTATGCCACTACAGCGGCAAGACTTTTATTAGCCAAAAACTGGAAATCACAAGAAATACCAACAATAGAAGAATGGCAGATGAAGATGTTGGACTTTTTGGAGCTGGCCGACCCGACTGGAAGAATCCGCAACCAGAAAGAGGAGGAGATACATGAGGATTGGAGGAAATTCAAAGAATATTTAGCTAAATATTGTGATATAAGATAAATAGAAAATTCTTGGAAATAATAAATAGGCTTAGGGGTAGAATGAGAATATGTGATAGTAAATATTAAGGATTAAAATATTAATAAAGGAGAGGTTAGTAAATAAAAGGAGTTAATATTATTAGAAATATGAATTTGGAGAAGTGTTATATAGGTGATATACAGTGGTACCTCGCAAGACGAATGCCTCGGAAGACGAAAAACTCGCAAGACGAAAGAGTTTTTCGTTTTTTGAGTTGCTTCGCAGGACGAATTTCCCTATGGGCTTGCTTCGCAAGACAAAAACGTCTTGCAAGTTTGTTTCCTTTTTCTTAAAACCGCTTGAAGAGGTGCAGTTGCGACTTGACCGTGCTTCACAAGACGAAAAATTCGCAAGACGAAAAAAACTCGCAGAATGAATTAATTTCATCTTGCGAGGCACTACTGTAATGAAATTCAGTTACAGGGGTTTTGAGGAAGTCAGTTATCAATGAAATGAGAATTAGGTATTTGAAGAAACAATTTTTCTTTGTGTTTAATGTATTGTAGTGTAATGTGTTTTTCTTGTGTGTTTTGTTATGTGATTTTTGTGATAAATGTGGAAAATCAATAAAAAATTGGGGGGGGGGGGAGAAGAGCCTGCTGGGCCAGGCCAGTTGCCCATCTGCCATGGCATCCTGTTCTCACAGCAGGACCCAAACACAGGAGCCCTTTCCCCTCCAACGGTGGAGAGCAGAGCACAGCCGTCGTGGCCAGTAGCCATCAATACCTTTCAACAAGCAGGATTCGAACACAAGAGCGCTTTCTCCCCTCTTGTGGCTTCCAGCAACTGGAATTCGGAAACATTACTACTGCCTCAAACTATGGCAGCAGGGCAGAGCCATCCTGGTTGGTAGCCGTCAGTAGCCCTCTCCTCCTCCATGAAATTCCCTTGTCCTCTTTTAAAGGATGCGGGTAGCGCTGTGGGTTAAACCACAGAGCCTAGGACTTGCCAATCAGAAGGTCGGCGGTTCAAATCCCCACGACGGGGTGAGCTCCCGTTGCTCGGTCCCTGCTCCTGCCAACCTAGCAGTTTGAAAGCACGTCAAAGTGCAAGTAGATAAATAGGTACAACTCCAGCGGGAAGGTAAACGGCATTTCCGTGCGCTGCTCTGGTTCACCAGAAGCAGCTTAGTCATGCTGGCCACATGACCCAGAAGCTGTACGCCAGCGCCCTCCGCCAATAAAGCGAGATGAGCGCCGCAACCCCAGAGTCGGCCACAACTCAACCTAATGGTCAGGGGTCCCTTTACCTTACTAGGTTGCCTCCCGTGCGAGGGGTTGGAATTTGGAAGGGAACGAATCTGTAGATTAAAATTTAAACCTCCTGACCCACGTGTGGGAGAGACAAAGAACAAGCGATTGGGAAGCCTTTCAGCAGAGTAAAATATCAAGTGTGTTTTTCAGCTTATTAAGAAGCTTAGGAATATTATTGATTTGATTTGTATAACTCCCTTCATCCAAAGATCACAGGGCGGTTCACAATAGGCTATTATTATCTGTTGATATTTCCCACAGGAGGTTCTACAGTTTAACTATGCACTGCATGAAGTCCTCTTTCTTTAATCTGTCCTGAATCTTCCAGCATTCATTTTTATTTTCCACGATTTCTACTTCTGTAAGATAGGGACAAAAACCTTTCTCTACCATCTTTCTCTGTGCTATGCATCAGTTTATTAACTTCTATCATGCTGCCACCTACTCGCCTTTTCTCTAAGCTAAAAAGTCCCAAACATGGCAACCTTTCCTCATAGGGGAAGCCTCCCCATCCACCTTGACCATTTTGGCTGCCCTTTTCTAAAACCTTTTACACCTCTACAATACCCTTTTGGAGGGGAGGCGACCAGAACTGTATGTGGTATTCCAAACACAGTCACACCATAGATTGCATAATGGCATTTGGGAAAGTTATAGAAGAGTCCTTAAAATTAGGGATTAGATTACAATTGTGTACACGTTACTGGCAAAAAATGCAGGCTAGGTCATTTTCTGAGTTTGGATTGAAGCTGGTTGGGAGTGAAATCAAAATGCAGTATTTTATAAGAAACATGATAAAGATTGTGATTAATGTGTGCAGTGTGTTTCCCAAACCACCGATGAGAGCACACTGAATGCAGAGTAAATAGACTTGGTCCCAGATGGAGTTTCGGAACTGAGGCAAGTGCTTTTTGAGGTAAGTGCCTAGACTTTGGAATTCCCTTCCTAGAGAAACCAGGCTGGCTCCCTCCTTGCTGCCAAGATCTTATTCCAACAGGCTTTTGGGGAATGACTGCTTGTAATGAGGCGACTGGTGCCATGTTGTTTTTACAGTGGTACCTCGGGTTAAGTACTTAATTCGTTCCGGAGGCCCATTCTTAACCTGAAACTGTTCTTAACCTGAAGCACCACTTTAGCTAATGGGGCTTCCTGCTGCCGCTGCTGCACGATTTCTGTTCTCATCCTGAAGCAAAGTTCTTAACCCGAGGTACTATTTCTGGGTTAGTGGAGTCTGTAACCTGAAGCGTATGTAACCTGAAGCGTATGTAACCCAAGGTACCATTGTACAATCTTTTCGTTTTTAGAAATCTTATCTATGTCTGTATAAATGATTTTAATTCTATTAATGTTTAATTGTTTTCTTAATGACTGGCCCTACCTCCCCTTGATGCTTTTAGCTGTTCTTATTTTTATCTGTAAGGCACCTTGAGTATAAATAAATATATACTAACAATAATAAATGTGGGGTGGAAGGAAAAAGCATTTGGGTTGCAGCATTTTGCTCTTTCTTGCCTGTCTAATCACAAGAGAAGTAAAAAAAGCAGACCTTCAGTTATTTCAAAAGCTTTTTTTAAAAAAATAAATGTCTTGGCAACTTACTGCTCCTCCCAGACGCAGGGGGGGGGGTCCCTATGGAGGGAAAGAGGCAGGCAAGAGAGGGCCTCCTTCAAACCTATGAGTTACATTTATTTTATTCATTTATTATACTGCACTTCATCTGAAGATCAGAGGGCGGTTCACAACATTAAAATACAAAATAAGAGCACAAAATACATAAAATAAAAGCAGAAGCAAACCAAGAACCCCCCCCTTCCAAAACACATTTAGAAGGACACTGAATGTTAGCTGGCCCAAGGCCTGGCTTCGCATTTTGAGCATTTATAAGGTGCATTCTTTTACATTTAAAAAGATTGAAAGGAGAAGCAGAGCCCTTGTCGCAGTCCAAGCATTCTCATGTCCTCACCACTTCATGGGTTCTCTGGTGTGCAATAAGCTGTGCGCTGAACTGGAAGCCCTGCTCACATTCCAAGCATTTAAAAGTCCTTTTGTTCGTGTGGACAAGTTGATGTCTAACAAGGTTTGACTGAGAACTGTACCCTCTACCACACTTGTGCAGCTTCTCTCCTACGTGGCTTCTCTGGTGTGCAGTAAGCTGCGTGCTAAGCTGGAAGCTCTGTTCACAATCCATGCATTTGTAAGGCCTCCCTCCAGCGTGGATTTTCCGATGTTTAACAAGGCCCGACAGAGAAGTATACCTCCGGTCACAGTCGGAGCACTTGTGAGGCCTCTCCCTTGTGTGGCTTTTCCAATGCACTTTAAGGCTGTTCCTGTAATAGAAGCTCTGCCCGCATTCTGAACACTTAAAAGGCTTCTCTTTCGTGTGGATTCTCCGGTGCACGCTAAGGTTGGAGTGAGAAGTATACCTCTTGCCACAGTCTGCGCACTTATACGGCCTCTCCCCTGTGTGGGTTCTCTGATGCGCCTGAAGGCTGGTGCTGTAATTGAAGCTCTGCCCACATTCGGAGCATTTATACGGCCTTTCTCCGGTGTGGGTCCTTTCATGCTCAATCAACTTTGCCTTGTAACAGAAGCCTTTCCCGCACACTCGGCACACGTACGGCCTCTCGGCGGTGTGGGTCACCTGGTGCACGGTAAGGCTCGACTTGCGCATGAAGCTCTTGTCACACCGCTCGCACTTGTAAGGGGTCTCCCCCGTGTGAATCCTCCGGTGGTCCGTCAGGGCGGAGTTGCGCTTGAAGCTTTTCCCACACAGCTCGCATTTGTAGGGGGCCTCTCCCGTGTGCA